TATATATCTTAAATGTCCTGATATTACATTTAAGACGACAAGAATAGGCCCACAGCATCACTGGTTCTCAGTTTATCAGAAGTGGCCGTTTGGTTCTTTTTCCATGTTTCCCACATATTTATACATTAAGTGTTGGCTGCTTAAAAGGTATAACTTAGATTGATCAGTTAAAGTACCAGTAGAGCACGTTAGTGATGGTAGGAGAAAAAAAGCCTCACCCTTGCATGCATCTACAGCAGCCTGTTGTTGTGTAGATGGCTTCTAATTGACCAAACATGTTAAAGAACTAATCATGAAGCCAATGAGGTTTCACCTCCCTCTCCATCTGACATTTCTGCACAAGGTGGCAGGATAAACCTGAGTCATCATCCAGCCTTGGATCTGGGTCTTTAATTAGTAATTAGTCCTCTGACTGTAGTTATGCACATGTTTTGGTGAGTTTCTGTTTTTAGTCTACTTGCATACATTTTAAATGCATATAAGTTCCCCAAGCAATCAAGCTGTACAAGCGATCAAGCTGAGGGACAAGTGTCCTTGGACATCTTATGCAAAACTTTGCCTATTCTTCTCTCTTACTGTGCAATAACACATACCAACTACTGTGTAGCCTATGTAATCTTTTTTTAACCTATTTATAAGGTCAGTACATCTCTGCAGTACAAGCGCAAAAATCGAAGTCAAATACTGTGTTGTCTTTCCTTAGCGGTCTACTGTGCAGATATTTTTCTATCTACTGAAACATATTCCAGGAAAACTTTTTATACTGTGTGTCGTATTTTTTTCTCTTTAATGGCATCTTGCTTTTACTCTTTGTACTCTATATTAGCTACTGGAACCAGGACTTCCCTGAAGGAGTAATCCCAAGGGATAAATGAAGCTGAGTCTAAGTCTAGGTCATATAGACACATATAGGAAGGACTTTACTCATGCTTAAAAGATCTAAATCATACACACATTTTCCCACTAATGCAAGCACATATGGAGGAATTGTTTCCTATACACCAAATCATTTTCCGTCAATACTTTGCTGTCCGTATATAATTTTTTTTTATATATAATGGTAAAAGTGTATCTTTCCCTATTTTTTCCTTTTATTCTAAAAGTTGCTGTGGAAAATGTCAGACCCCCCTTCATTGCTAGCCATTAAAATCCATCTCCTCTCCACATATGAGCTGCAGTTTTGTTCTGCAACAGATTGCAATATTTTCATTTTGATTAAAAGGCTATAATTGATACATATTAAACTTTAATCTAAATGACTACATGTAACAGTAAAGATATTAAACCCACAAAGAGTTATTACCCAATTAAGCAGCCCTCTAAGCCTCTGCAGAGACTCATTCTGCCTTTCATTTCATGGATTTTAGTTTTCGAATGCTTCGTTTCACTCTTACAGTTTGTGTTTGCACCCTGCTGGTTTGAAATGTTCAGCTTTACATTTCTAAAAGTGTTCACTGCACAACCAGCACCAAATTACAGTCAGTTAGCAAGGCTGCTGATGAACGCAGGACCATTTAGCAGCCACACATATTTTAAAAGCTTTTATTTTTAAGCTTAATGTAAGCTTACATTCACGCTATTGTTATTTTCTAAAACTTTCTGCATCCATCTTTAAAACCTTGGCAATTTTAAATCTATATTCATAACACAGAGTTAGAGTAATTGTATTATATTATATGTATCTGTGTTTTTTCTAGGCTAAAACTAAATTAATGGAATTAGGAGAGAAAGTGAAAAGGTGCAACCAGGAGCTGCTGATTAAATGCATCGATTAGGTGCAGATCACTTTCAATATGAGCAGTTTGCTGCTATGGGGTTTTAACACAATGCCAAGATAGGGAGACACCATAATGTCTTTATACAAGCAACTGTTGCTGCTTAATTAGCAG